GGGGAGGACAGGGACCTCAGTGGGGTACAGTGCCATAGAATCCACCTTCCAAAGCATCCATTTTCTCCAGGGGAACTGATCTCTCTAGTCTGGAGATGAGCTGTAATTCTGGAAGATCCCCAGGTCCCACCGGGAGGCTGGCATCCCTCGATTGTCCAGTGCCCTTACAGAAGCAAACAAGCTCCACTGTCTGATTCACTTTGTACCGTGTTTTCCCGAAAATAAGACACTGTCTTATATTTATTTTTTCTCAAGAAGACACACTAGGGCTTATTTTCAGGGGATGTCTTATTTTTATTAAGTATAATATAACAATCTACATTTATTCAAATACAGTTAAGTCATCTTCTGGAACATCGTCATAACTCTCATCACTAGGTCTTATTATCGGGGTAGGGCTTATACCACAAATGCATAGATATCCTGCTAGGGCTTATTTTTTGGGTAGGTCGGGGAAACAGGGTATGCGTGTACTATGGAAATGGCACCGTTTGCAGCTTTCCTTGGCATAATTTGGATGACTTTCTTAAAACTTCTCTTTTTTTAGTGGAAAGTCAACTCAGCCCTGCCGACCAAAGTCCAGCCACTCAGCCAAGTTATTACCCACGGGCTTTACTTATTCATTTGCTCCATTCTATATTTTCCACTTCCTGGGTCCTCGGTTGAACTGCAGTTTTGCTGAGAGCCAGGAGTTCTGATCGCTAATTAAAAATATTTTTTTTTGTCTGGCTTGTCCAATCTAAAATATGATTCCATCTTTCCCCCCCCTACTTAGTGGTCAAGATTAATTTTTCATCATTCCTTTTTTTCTTTTTTTGGCACCACAAGAATGATTAATTGAGACAGGATTCAGCTGGGGAGATTGCCAGGAGTTTGTGACTTTAAAAAAAAAAGCTTTCTGCATTCCCTCATTCATGTGTTTACAGGATATTAATCACAATTCAGCTTCAGTGGAAGTTGTGGTATTTGGAGAAATGCTAAAAAAGAAAATGTGGGTTCTTTGGATGCACATACACAATACCCACGCGCAAGTCCTAATTCTACACCCAAACGATTGATGTAAATTAAGGACATTTGGGTGTCAGTTAAGGATGTCCAACTGCAATTCTAGGAAATTCCTAGAAATATGGGCAAAAACTGGAAGGGAGGGAGGGAG